TTTGATACGTGTTTCACACTTTTCGCAGAATTCAAACTTCTTCGGGGGGAATGCGATTTAAAGATTTTTTGGGCAAGTTATAAGTTGTGTCCGATTTGCTTCAAACTTATTTTCAAAGCTCTACATAAGAACTTAATAAATACGTATTTTAGCGATTTGGGAAATTCCACCCGTAACAGTGGTAACTTGGCGGAAAACGGTTGTATAAAAGTTTTTTGTTTACGATCCGATCGGCCCCAAACTTATTTTCAAAGATCTTTGTTCAAATTCATTTGAGGGGTGTTTCACACTTTTCGAAAAATCCGTTCCTCCTTGGTGGAAATGGAGGTCAAAGATTTGGGGGATGACGTTTTGTGTTCAAATTCGTTTCCAAAGATCTATAATAAAAATCATTTGAGACGTGTTTCACACTTTTCGCAGAATCCAAACTTTTTCGGGTGGAATGCGACTTGTGTCCGATTTGCTTCAAACTTATTTTCAAAGCTCTTCATAAGAATATAATGAATACGTGTTTCAGCAATTTGGGAAATTCCACTCGCAACATTGATACATTGGCGGAAAATGTTTCTATGAAAATTGTTTGTTTACCGTCCAACAAGTTTCAAAATCATTTTCAAAGCTTTTTGAGAACGTTGATTTTTAACATACGTTCCACGGGCAAGGCCGGGTTATACCCGCTAGTATATATATATATATATACATATATATAAAGTATATTTCATTTTATAGCTATTGGCAACCCCCGACCAAACAACATGGGTATAAATCAAATAAATAAACCAAATGCCCACCAATTAAAGCCACAATTTTAATGCAATTGTCTTTTTGAGAATATACGAATATTCTATAGCACGATAAGATCCACTGTTGTTTCATCAAGATCGGTAAAAAAAACACAAAAGATATTAAGGATAATGTGTTGAGGCTAGCCACGTGTTTGCGGCAGCTAGCGCAAATTGCAAGAATTTCTATATATATGTTCACACACACATTCATGAGAGTCTTTATTGAATTCTATCAAAAAATTTCAATTGTGATAAAATTGTATTCTGTGCTATGTGAATGTTTTAAAACTTTAAATCCTTTTTTTCTCAGAAAAAATAAAATAGGACTGTTAAAATTATCGTAAATAAAGTTTAAGGAATAATATGTATTCCACACACACATATATATGTATATACCCACACACACATACATATATATATAGGGTTCTTAAAATCATTGTATACATATGTATATTTATATATGTGTGTGTGTGTATATATATATGTATATATGTGTGTGGGGAATACATAATATTCCTTAAACTTTATTTACGATAATTTTAACAGTCCTGGCATTGACCTTCATATATATATATATATATATACATATATATATATATATATATACATATATATATATACTAGCGGGTAAAGCCCGGCCATGCCCGTGGCACGTATAAATAAATGTTCTCAAAAGCTTTAAAAATGATTATGAAACTTTCATTCAAACGGGTGAAATATCCCAAATCGCTGAAACACGTATTCATTAAGTTCTTATGTAGAGCTTTGAAAATAAGTTTGAAGCAAGTCGGACACAACTTAAAATCTTGCCCAAAAAATTTTGCTATCGCATTTCTACCGAAGAAGTTTGGATTTCTCGAAAAGTGAGAAACACGTCTCAAATGATTTTTCATATACTTAGATCCTTGGAAATGAATTTGAGCGCGAATGAATTTGACCCCCATTTCCACCAACGGATTTTCCAAAATTGCGAAACACCCATTAGAATATTTTTGACAAATACATTTAAAAATGTTTTTAAAGGCGATCGGATAGCAAGCAAAAAACTTGTATACAACCGTTTTTCGCTAATTAACCACTGTTGTCAGTGGAGTTTCCCAAATCGCTGATGCAAATCGGAAGCTTTGTTTTGCGAAAAGTGTGAAACACGTCAGTCTTATTGACTGACTAAATGATTGGTGATCAGCGGACAGCCCAAACCGTAAGAGCTGGGAAGCTGAAATTCACACTTTTCAAAGAAATGCATTCCTTCTTGGTGGGAATGGAGGTCAAAGATTTGGTGGGTAACGTTTCGCGCCCAAATTCATTGCCAATAATCTATATGAAAAATCTTTTGAGACGTGTATTATATGTGTGGAATGTGTGATTCTACATTTTTTTTGGTGAAGTTTTTAGTTTTGTCTGATTTGCTTCAAGCTTAATTTCAGAGCTTTACATAAGAACTTAATGAATACGTATTTCAGCGATTTATGAAATTTTTTTGTTTACCATCCGATCGCCTTCAAAATCATTTTCAAAGATCTATGTAAGAATTTAGTTGATACACCCTTGGGTGGCAAATGCGGGTCAAATGTTTAACAACTGAAAGTTAATTTTGCAGCTTTAAGATTCTCACCGCAAGTCTAACATAGGCGAAACACGTTGATTCCAACACTTGGTTCTTTATTCGATGCCCTTAAAATATATTTTTAAATATAAGTGGAGATTAAGATGGGTAGATTTCAATTTTCCACGGGCGGGTACTTAGTGGAAAGGTAATATCTAAAAATTTTAACACAACGTTTCACGGGCACGCCGTGTAGTATAGTCAAGTATATATATATATATAAATGCCAATAGCTATAAAATGAAATATCTCTATATATAAAACTGTTGGTCCTGACTGACTGACTGGCTAAATGACTGAATGACTGATTGGTGACCAACGCACAGCCCAAACCGTAAGAGCTAGGAAGCTGAAATTTGCACTGTAGCTACCTTATGTGATGTAGGTGCACGTTAAGACGGGGTTTCGGGAAATTCCACCCGCAAGTGTGGCAAAATCGCGAATAACGTTTGTATGTATTTTTTTTGTTTACCATGCCATCGGCCTCAAACTTATTTTCAAAAATCTTTGTTCAAATTCATTTGAGGGGTGTTTCACACTTTTGGGAAATCCGTTCCTCCTTGGTGGAAATGGAGGTCAAAGATTTGGTGGGTGACGTTTCGCGTTCAAACTCAATTCCAAAGATCTATAAGAAAAATCATTTGATACGTGTTTCACACTTTTCGCAGAATTCAAACTTCTTCGGGGGGAATGCGATTTAAAGATTTTTTGGGCAAGTTTTAAGTTGTGTCCGATTTGCTTCAAACTTATTTTCAAAGCTCTACATAAGAACTTAATAAATACGTATTTTAGCGATTTGGGAAATTCCACCCGTAACAGTGGTAACTTGGCGGAAAACGGTTGTATGAAAGTTTTTTGTTTACGATCCGATCGGCCCCAAACTTATTTTCAAAGATCTTTGTTCAAATTCATTTGAGGGGTGTTTCACACTTTTCGAAAAATCCGTTCCTCCTTGGTGGAAATGGAGGTCAAAGATTTGGGGGATGACGTTTTGTGTTCAAATTCGTTTCCAAAGATCTATAATAAAAATCATTTGAGACGTGTTTCACACTTTTCGCAGAATCCAAACTTTTTCGGGTGGAATGCGACTTGTGTCCGATTTGCTTCAAACTTATTTTCAAAGCTCTTCATAAGAATATAATGAATACGTGTTTCAGCAATTTGGGAAATTCCACTCGCAACATTGATACATTGGCGGAAAATGTTTCTATGAAAATTGTTTGTTTACCGTCCGACAAGTTTCAAAATCATTTTCAAAGCTTTTTGAGAACGTTGATTTTTAACATACGTTCCACGGGCAAGGCCGGGTTATACCCGCTAGTATATATATATATATATATACATATATATATATAGTATATATACATATATATATATATACAATATATATAAAGTATATTTCATTTTATAGCTATTGGCAACCCCCGACCAAACAACATGGGTATAAATCAAATAAATAAACCAAATGCCCACCAATTAAAGCCACAATTTTAATGCAATTGTCTTTTTGAGAATATACGAATATTCTATAGCACGATAAGATCCACTGTTGTTTCATCAAGATCGGTAAAAAAAACACAAAAGATATTAAGGATAATGTGTTGAGGCTAGCCACGTGTTTGCGGCAGCTAGCGCAAATTGCAAGAATTTCTATATATATGTTCACACACACATTCATGAGAGTCTTTATTGAATTCTATCAAAAAATTTCAATTGTGATAAAATTGTATTCTGTGCTATGTGAATGTTTTAAAACTTTAAATCCTTTTTTTCTCAGAAAAAATAATTCGAATATAAACGGTGGCAAGTAGTGCGGTCGGTGCGGGTTTGAGTCCTACTGGGTGAACTAGAACCTCTTACTTGAACAAATTATAAATGGAGTCCAAAATTTGTGAACGAATCATAAGAAAAATTAATTTTGAAAGTAGGTATTTCACGCAGAGAGGAGAAATTAAATTTATAAATAAAAACGCCTGCGAACGATTTACTAGCAATAGAAGCTCAAAGTGGCTATTTGGGCAAAAAAAATGAGGTTAAATTCAAAAAGTATGACACTAACCGGCGATTTGGTGCAGACTCAAATATGTCTTTGCTAAGCGATGCAAAGTTCGAGTCAAAATTACTAGAGAACTGCTCGCAGAATTTATATTCTGGAGAAATCAATTTACTTGTCGGTGGCAATGACAGTTCATTTACCATGCATCATATTTTCACACAACAACCTAAATCTACTGTGCAGAATATTCAGCCTACTTAAATGGGCAAGGTTTTTTCAGCACGACATGATGCAAGATTGCAAAACGGACGAAACATAGTGCACAAAAATAGAGCAAACAAACGATCAAATATATTCGTACACAAACTATTCTTCGAAACGATAGGAAATATCAATAATTTGCGAGAGTATGAAGTACTAGTAGATATCGCGAACCCTCAAGTAAAAAAAAAAATGTATGCATTAAACAAGAAATAATTAAAATAGAGTCAACCGGCAATTAGGGTCTGACGTTGCGTATGTTAACTTCAATAATTGATATACTAAGGCTGCATAACAGATAGAACTTTACTTTGAAAATTTTGAATGCACATTATAAGCCCAAAAATAATTACCAATTTTGAAGCACAAGAAACACACATCAAACACTCTCAAAGTGATACTCTCTCTTATACGTACACAGTCTATACTATTTTCTGATTTCTGTGGAATACAAGAAATATTTGCACCAATTTTTTCATACTTTCCTTTCAATCTGCACTTTTTTGTTGCCTATGAGCTCTTGTCACGCTATCCCATAGACAAGCCTTCCATTGACGCTTCTTCTGTTTAATACATTCAAACAGCTTCGACCATTGTCCCACAGGATTCTGTCATAATAACAGCATTGACGCTTTCCTTTAAGTTTCGCAAATTTAATCGCGATGCTTACGGCGCAGAATGTTCCTTAGCTAGGCTCAGGTCCCAAATCATTAAATTCTTTCTGTAAAATTTGCTTGTAATGTAATCGTCCTTTCGTGCGATTGACACAATTTCGCCTGTGTTTAAGAGCGATTTCACAGGAAGCTGAAGGCCACGAGGAAGTAATTGCGGATATATACAGATCATATTTTTGCAATACCAATTTTTAGAAATGTACAAAAGTAACAGTCGGAACCATGAAGCGTGAACCATATATTTCCATTAATCCAAATATAGCTATCGCTAACGATCCTGATAAATATCAGAACTAGACTGTAGAGTGGTAATTGTGGATGGTAGCTATACATCAATATTAAAAAATTGAGCAGAGGGAGTGAACATGTCACCTTTACCTGAGATCAAAAAAATATTCTTTGTTGTCTGTTTCATCCAAATTCTGGCAGATAGTTCTCACGGCTGAAAACGGTCGAACATATTTTATACCTATTAAATGGTTACAGGTATATCATTAACAACATTAAAAATAAATTTAAACAAGTCAGAGGTTCTAGTCGGGAGCTCCCGACTAGAGGATACCCTGCTTTAATAGTTAATAAGATAAATTAAAAAAAAAAAGTTGCTTACGACACTACTCAACAGGCACACCAAAAAAAAAAAAACATTTTCCTAAGCAGGGTTCGAGTTCGTAACTGACCGCGCTACTTTTCGCCAACAAGTAACAGGTTCTAGTCGGGAGCTCCCGACTATGGAATACACTGAACCCTCTTCTACCAACACCAAATTCAGCTCGAGCTACGCGCTCGTTTACTTCAGCAGTTATAAAAATACATTTAAAAAAAAATAAACTTGTTCCTCGATAGGTCTCGAACTCGTGACAGACCTCACTACTTGCCGCCGCCTATACTCAACAGCCACACCAACAATTGAGTCTTAAAGAGAAAACGACGAATTAAAATAGCAGCACAGAAAACAATACAATTGCAATTGAAATGCTGTTGATAGAATTCAAAGCAGACGCGCATGAATGTGTGTGTGTACATGTATACAGAAATTCTTGCAATTTGCGCTTGCTGCCCCAACTCGAGGCCAGCAATAACATGTTTTATTTAATAACTTCTGTGTTTCTTAACCGATCTTGATGAAATTTTCTACATCTTATTGTACTATAGATTATATGTGTATTATCAAAAAGTCAATTGCATTTAAATTGTGGCTTATATTGGTGGGCAGCATAAGGGATTTCGATATCGATTTTTATCGATTACTTGGAAACGGGGCAAGTTATCGAATATCGGAAACAAACCCCACAAATACATTATACCCCTTTTAACCATTTTTAATGCGTTCAGGGTATAAAGAGAATTTCGTTACCGATTCTAACCGATTTGGTTCATACACGGATATGACTCGGTCGACACGGGCTTATTAGCCACAGATTCTTCCTTCTGCATTTTACAAAACTTTGCAGAAACGACATTTATCTTTTCTATTCATTTTCAGAGTATCAAAATATGTGCATGTATTGATTTAATTCTAACCTTAAACTGACACTGTCCCGTTTTCTTGACTAAAATCTATGCCTTACATTCCATATTTGAAAGAGTTAAAGTTGAGTTCTTTCCTGTACAAACTCTGGCATCCACCTTCCTTTACTTGAAAATCGAGTTTCCAAAAACCCTTTCAGAAATAACTTTTTCACACAGTTCCGGCTATGAAAAATTGAAATCTGACCGTATCTGGAATCTATTTAAAAATATGTTTAAGGTCCATAGAATAACGAAGCAAAAGTTGGAATCAACTGTTTCCGCCCATGTAAGCCTTGTGGTGAGAATCTGAAAGTCTTTTTTTCATTAAGCCTTTGACTCACATTCTTCATCCACGAGCAGAGAAAACCAATATTTCCACAGCAAAAACAAATTACAAACTTTACGACGAAATTCCAAAATCAATGAAAGGCGTATACATTAATTCTTGATGTGTTTATTAGAAAATATATTTAATTCCAATCGGACAAAACTTACAAAACGGACAAAACATCGCCAAAAAATCTTTGAATTGCATTTACCCAGAGGATACTTGGATACTGCGAAAGGTGTAAAGAACGTCTCAATTGATCCGTCATAAAATATTTGTAACTTCATTTTAATGCGAACTTCACCTACCAAATCTCTGATTCTTATTCATAGCAAAGATGAATTGATTTTTCGAAGAGTAAAAAGTCTTATTGTGCACCTCTATCACATAAGGTAACCACATTTTGACCTTCTTGGCTCTTACGGTTTGGGCCGTGCGTTGATGACAATTCAGTCAAGACAAACAGTTTTATATATATGTAGATATAAGAAACTCATATATTCATACATACATATAATCATGTACATATAAAAGAAACGAGAAAAAGATAAAGCAAAAAGTAAATTTGTTCAACTTTTCACTTTTCCTATGTATTTAGTATTTTTAAATTCTTTTTACAAAAGTTCAAACTTCAATTGAACGAAATCGAGAGTACTTTCACTTTGTGTAAATAGTACATATTAGGGATATAAGAGCTCATGTACATACATACACTCGAACTTACTAAAGAGTGCATGTGTAGCAATAAAAATGTTCGACTTAAATTATTGCTTTGAATTGAGCCAAAAGCGAACAGCGTACGACCGCAAAGACAAGACTATTCGGGGGCATGGGGGCTTCCCATAACCTAGTGTACATATGTGTGGGTTTTTACCCTGTTGTAAGAATAATGTGATTCCTGTCCTTGAATCATAAAACCAATTTTTCCACTTCTTTTCTGTCTATGTATATGTAAGCATTTCTTTTTATTTTACTTTTTTATTTTTTCTGTTTGCACTTTTTTGAGCAGACTTTGTCTACATAAAAATATATATTGCATGTCGTGTGTTGTGTGCTGCTGTTGGTCTACTCAACGCCAGACTGGTGTCGAGGTCAATGTCGGTTAGAGTTGGGGCTCAGACTGGTCACTACGTGGAGCTTCTATGACCGTTTTTTTTTAGCTAACTCAAAGGAAAGAATAAATACTTACTTTAATATGAATGTGTGGAATGAATATGATATATGTATTTAGAAGTGAGCGCATGCAAACAAATAATGACATATTGACCAATATTGTGGTTAGAGAGCGGTAGATAGCACATCAATCCGTTGTGTTTGTTTTTGTGTCCAATTTACAATTACCTAACAGTACAGCTCTTTATGGAGCAGAGCAAGATATACCGACGCATCCAATCACATGTAAACAGCTTAATGTAATGGTGGACCAAGCATTAATCAGTTGCTGTCCGTGTTTTCTTTTTAAACATATTCGGATCGTTTGATACATAGTCCACACTAATGAATGCACTTTTACGAGCCTGCCTGCCTGCCTGTGTTTATAAACCTTCTGTGTTAGGGAAGGGTCCTTCGCATTTCTTAACTAAATGAACATAGGCACACATGCTTAGTACATTTTTATGCATTATCACACTGGTGATGATATATAGTACGGTATAAATGTTTGTATTTGTATGTATGTATGCATGTTCTAGCACGTGTTTCTGTTTTCATGTAAATGTGCTTGCGTGTGTGCGGCGGCACATTCAGAACTTTTACATTAGTTTTTTGTAAGCTAAATAATATGAACGCCATTGGGCTAGGTCAGTGTCGACCCTCTTACTCAGATTTTTGTGCTTTATTTTTATAGGATAAAACTTTGCCAACAGTCGATACATAAATTAAAGAGCGAAAGTAACTTGTTGTATGGATTAAATATATACATACATGCATACATTAATACTTACTTGGGAAGTGTACACTTCGACTCCAAGCTGTTTTATTATTTTATAATACTACTACTTCTACTACTACTACTTTACTGAAACCGACAATTACTGCTTTTCCATACACTTTTCATACTTTAGAGACATACATTTCAACGATGTATAGAGCATTAAGAGCACTGATACTAAGCCAGGTTTATTTTCTGGGAGTGGAAATGAAACAAAAGTCAGCGATGCCCCTCTATCACACGTGTGACCGACATGCTTTTCTATAAAGCAACATATAAAACCCGTCATCTCTGAGCAAGTGAGCACGTTACGGACCAGAGCAAATAAGAAGTCCATGTGGGAAATCACGCACATGGCGGCTACCTTGTTAGATGGTTTGTGGTTCGACTAAACGTATTGAAACAAATTTTGACTTCGACATTCCATATTTTCATAATATTTTAAAAATATTATCCAAGCCGAATGATTAAGAACTGCTAAAGAGGTTTCAAAAATGTTGTATACAAATTATTTAGCGTATTTATATATATAAATTCAGATTTATCATTTGCCTTGATTGTTTTGTCAGCTACACCAAAGTTCGAGCCCTCCATATGATGAAAAAAAATATTTTGTTATATCCTTGTATTATGCAAGCTTGTAAGCCATAATTGTTTAAATAATTAATCTACGGCATGTCGAAAATAGCCATTTAATTTTTTATGCGATTAGAACAATTTATCTGACGGAAAATATAAGTAAAGCGAGCTGTAATTAGTTTTAAGTCCAGCGTTTACTTAGTTTGTTGATTGGATCGCAACAGGGACAATGGGGCCTTTTTAGGACCGCCTGATGTAAAGAACCATAATAAGATCTAAGAAAATTACCGTCTTGTAACTTACAATTTTGTTTGTAATGAATTGGTAATAAAAAAATTGAGTGAGGGGGACTATGATGAATGCGTAGATTCGTGTTGGCCACTGCAATGTCGTTGCATATTTTTAAAGTTGGCACGAATTTCACAAGCAATAGCGGTAGCAAATACCTAAAAGTATCAAATTATTATATAAAAATAAAATTTGTACATACATATTCCATCGAACAGGATGCTACTAGAGAAAGAGACGTTGGCTGGTCTGATGGCTTAGAATGTTAATTAATAGAACTTAAAACAAGTAAGAGGTTCTAGTCGGGAGCTCCCGACTAGGGGATACCCTGAACCCTCTTATTCCAACGCCAAATAAAGCTCAAGCTACGCGCTCGTTTGCTTTAGTAGTAATAAAGATAAATTTAAAAAAAATAAGGTTCCCTTGGCAGGGTTCAAACTCGCAACTAACAGCACTACTTGCCGCCGCCTCTACCCAACAGCCACACCAGCAAAAAAAAAAGAAAAGTTTCCCCGGTGGTTACCCAACAGCCACACCATTTATTAATTCTTAATGAGAAAAAACGAATTAAATTATTAGAATTCAAAGAAGACACGCATGAATGTGTATGTGTACATGTATACAGAAATTCTTTAAATTTACGCTATCTGCTAACATATGCGCACATTACATCTTAACCAATCTTAATGAAAATTTCGTTAGTACATCTTATTGTACTATAAAATATTCGTGTATTCTTACAATGACAATTGCATTTAAATGCTGGCCTATATTGGCGGGCAGCACAAATAAGTTAATTTACTTGATTTATAGCTATGAGGTAGTAGCGGGAAGGTGGTGATAGCTATAAAATAAAAGATACTTGATATACATATACATAAATAGTGATCTAGGAGATACATGTCAAGTTTGGTCACTCAAGCTCAAATTTGCTCAAAAAAGCAGGATTTCGATATTGATTTTTATCTATTACTTGGAAACGGGTTTTATCGAATATCGGAAGCAAACTCGATCTGCGCGGGTACTAGGAGAACCTACAGCTAATTTCAAGTCTCTATGGGGTCGGAGATGGGTTCAGGGTATACAAATTGTAATTGATTACAGACTAGCTCCCGCTAAAAAAAAGTAAGAGGCTTTAGAAGGGAATTCTCGACTAAGGGCTACCCCGAACCCTATACTACCAACACCAAAGCACCTCGCGCTACGAGCTCGTGGCTCAAGAATATATATTCTCTCTGGGATCGGAGAAGCTTGCTTTTGCCTGTTACATACATTTTCACAAATACATTATACCCCATTTTCCCATTTTTAATGGGTTCAGGGTATAAAAACAAAAATGACAAACTGGTTGTAAGCATTTTTTCTATTCAAAAAATATACAAAAAGGACAATGAGTGCGCACCACGCGAAAAAAAACGTTGCAATATAGTCATTTAATTTATTTATTTATTTATTTTATTATTTAGAAAGGTCAAACAGAAAAGATAAGTCTGGTAACGGCAGGAGAGCCCTGCTAGTTTATGCAGAATTAGTTATACATATATACCGCCAAACTCAAGGCTGTAACTAAATACTTAAAACGAACCCTGAATAAAGTGCACATCGGGTCAATTTCTGAAACACGAAATAAGAACGGCAGTAGTCAATTCCGTTATAGTCTGCAAAATATTAAGCTGCATACTGGCTTTAATCGAAACTTGATACTTGTCATTGCAGAGACAATCCGGTTGCTGAAGGGTAATTAAATTACGCTTGATTTGATGTTAGCGCTCCTGTATAGTCCCTGCACCCATGCCTTAGGTTTATCTCTAACCAGCTTTGAGATGTGTGCAATAAAAAAGATGGGTAGAGGCAACTAAATAAAAAGGCAAGAAAAATAACAAGCATTTTTATTTTAATACCAACACTTAATATAAACTTGATAGAGCCACAATATCACGCTCCATTTGCTCGAACGCCAGATACAGCTACAAGGGCGAATACAGTGCTAGGGCACAAAACATACAAAGCGGAAGCACAGTCAGGAGCGCACTCCTTTCTAGCAAAGTCATGCACTTGTTGATTTTTATTAAATGTTGTAATAAAATAACAGTTAAGTTGTAACTTTGAGTGGAGCACAAAATAAAACAACATCGCACTAATCGAAGGTCCCCGACTAGACGATACCCATTAAACTGCACCGCGTTGCCGTAACATACAGTCGCATTTGCCTTTATACATATATGCTCACATACACATTTCATTCCATTTTGTTAAGTTTATGTTTAACATGTGTGGAGCATTCGACATCAGTTTTTTATACAAGTTTCCAAATTAATAATAAGAAAACATTTAGTTAGTTTATAGGCATTAATTCCAGTCAATAAAGCTGCACTTATTTAATAATATTAATTATAAACCTTGCCTGCCACTTAAAACATTGCTTGATATCCGAAAAACATTGTTTTTCATCTCTTATATCGGGGTTCATTTAGACAGACCAACTTCTTTGTACCCTTTTTGTTTATTTTCAACGGTTAAAGGGTATTAAAACGAGAAAGAAGGGCTATCTTCGGCACGATGAAGATTTAACACCCTTGAAGAACCAACCTTTTCATAATGCTCATAGTGCTTTGCCCGTATCTAAGAATCACAGAAAAAAAGTAAATGCCGAGTATGGTCAAGATATCTTAAAAAACAAAAAAGTTTTCGTACCAACACCCTAATTCTCGACCGATCGTTCCTATGGCACCTATATGATATAGTGGTCCGATGTTGATAGAATTTTGCATATATATGAGGATATGAGAATAGTAAAACTAAAAAATGACGAATTTGGTCAAGATATCTTGATAAAGGTTTTCATACAAGAACCTACTTTTTTACCGATCGCTCCTTTGACAGCTATATGATATAGTGGTCCGATCCAGCTGGTTCCGACATATGTACTGCGTGCAACAGAAAAATGTACCTCTGCAAAGTTTCATATCGATAGCTTTAAACCTGAGAGGCTAGTTCGCATAGAAACAGACAGACGGTCAGACGAACATGGCTATATCGAGTCGGCTGTTAATACTGTTCAAAAATATATATTATTATGGGGTCGGAGATGTCCCATTCTATGCGTTACACATTTCACGACAAAATTATAATACCCTCTGCAAGGGTATAAAAAACCCGCACCAACCTTAAAAACGAAGGCGCCGATGCAGGAGTAAGAAGTATGTAGTAGAAGCTACGGGGTAGAAAAGATAGAAAGGGTGCGGGACCATAAAAAAGTTTGCAGCAGGAATACTCTGCACATGTACGAGTAGCAATACATTTTTATGTGTGTGTGCAGTAAACGTTCATGAATGAAATCTAGAATGGATGAATAAATATTTTACTCTTTGCCTTTAAGCATTGATTTTTTTCTGTTCTTCGGCTCAGTATGTGAAAAGTGTTTTTTGTGACCTGTCACCGCTTGAACTTGCGACTAACTTAGTCTCAGTCTTTGGCCCAGTCTCAGGTTGAGCGCTTGGATGACTCACACAAAGAAAATGTGAGCACGTCGTATATGCACCAGCAAACGGAAAACATACAAGAAAAAAAGAAAATCAAGATGCCACTGTACTCGCACTCGTACTCTGAAAGTGGAGCATCGCGCATAAATTATTACACCCATCCTTATGTTCGTAGGAGTTTTATGGGCCACTTGTTAGACGGTGGAGAAGACTAGGTTAGGCCAAATGTGGATGGCTAGACGTCTACACAGTTTTGTGTACGCTGCTTTTCATATAAATAAAAATTACAGCTACCCGCACTAATGGAAGCTGCGAATCGTGCGTAATAGAATTCAATATTATCACACATTGTTATTTTATCCTTGCATAGGATTTATCAAATGTGTGACACATAAATACTTATATATATATTCTTAATCGGGTGTTTCCATGCAAACTCAGTTTTAAAAATATCTTAAAAAAACTTGGTATATATTTATGTTGCCGGCACGGTTGCCTTTAAAAAAAAAACAAATTGTGCCAACAAAATTTAAAATGGAAAAAATGTCAGTAAAACCGGTCCATATTTACTTCAATAATAAATCACTTAGAATTTAAGTAATAGTTTCATTATCTTTATAAAACTGTATGTCTCATTGACTAATTGGTTATCATTGCACAGCCCTAACCTTAAGAGATCAAAAGGTAAACCTTACCTTATGTGGTAAATGGGTACACCGACACAC